CCCCCCCCAGAGAAGTGAAGGGTTTTTTTCAGTGGTGATTGAAATGTGTTTTAGTAAATTTCATTAGATGCCACTGGAAGATAGGTAGCAAAAGGACTTGTGTTTAAAACAGCCTGCTATCATTTTGAGATTATCATTTTCCATATTTTTGAAGCACCTGATGTCACTAAACTTATTACAAATGGATTTATTATGGCGTGTGCATTGTTCTGGTGATGCTGCTGTTTCATCTTGCAAACTAATCTTCGGCAAAGAACCACTAATTCACCTGATTGTAGTTTACATTTTAGTTCTTTGAGGAGCATAGCTTGCTGTATGGCTGTAAATGAATGACAGCAAAAGTTTTTCATGCAGTGATTCAGTGAATTTTTGGTTGCCTTTACATTGGTTCAGACTTGTCTGTTGTAATTCACTGTTTGCAAGTGATATTTTCAGTTACATTATCAGTGAATATATCTTATAATTTTATAAATTGGTAGGTACTAGACATTCACAACAGTCACAGAAAAAAAGAATTTGAATTTAACCGCAAATAATAGTTGAGAGAAACTGTTCATATGTAGAAAGATGATGGTCACTGCTTACTTTTAGTTCTGATATTTTGCCGGTGTTCAACATTAGCTTCATACATAGATACTGGGTTTTTGGACTTTGTCCATTGTCGGGATTCTAAATAACTAAGATAAAACATAACGTTTCGGAAACTGGATCTGTTTTCATCCTCAGGTGAGGGAAGACACCTACTCTGTTGTGTTCCTCAGTGTTTTGTGACATCGGTTGTCCAGTGATTGAGGCTAGCTCTTTCTAAGGGACACAACAGAGTAGGTGTCTTCCCTCACCTGAGGCCAGAAACAGATCCAGTTTCCGAAACGTTATGTTTTTTCTTAGTTATTTAGAATCCGGACGATGGACAAAGTCCAAAAACCCAGTATCTCTCTGTGTTATACACCATCGTCAGAAACTTATAGTATCCAATTAGCTATATATTTTAGCAAATTGTACACACGTGTGCTCTCACAGAGACTGGTGTACCACTTACCCTGCCATGATACAGCTTATGAGATGTGAGCATTAAAGAACTTATTTTGACTCCTGGATGCAAATTTTTAAAATGAAGGTATAACTATTTCACATTCACTGCGGTAGTTGTTTCTGTTCATATGTTCTCTCGCCACTCCTTTAACTGATGTTTAATCTTTTTTGCCAGGCAATATTCTACTCCCTCACAGTTACAGAAACCTCTACAGTTCTGTTCAAAGTTTTCCCTGGTTTTGAGATTAAGTGAAGACATTGTCATTCCATGTGAAGCTGTATTGCTACCCTAGTTACAAACACTTGTAAAATTTCGTGAACTTTTGAAATATTCCCAGTCATAGTGAGAACAGTTACAAGTTTTATGTTCAAACTTTTTGAAGTCATTGAAGCTTAAATTATTTCCTTCAGTTGCTTTTATATAACAGCATCAGGTTACGTAGAAACTGCACTTGAATTGACATTTTCAGGAATGCAAAGAATTATTGTTTTTGCAGCATTTCAGTTCTTTTCATATTATGTAAGATTTGAGGCTTTCACGGCGGTGACTATGAAGAAAGCAGTCTTCTGGGATTTGGCACCGTGTATATGTGGTGTTAACCGACGTTTCGGAGGAACGTATCGCCCCCATCTTCAGGGTTGAAGAAAAAGTATAGGTAAATCTGCAAGCGACAACACCGTGAGACACGGTAACTCGGTCTGCTTTACCGTGTCTCACGGTGTTGTCGCTTGCAGATTTACTTATACTTTTTCTTCAACCCTGAAGATGGGGGCGATACGTTCCTCCGAAACGTCGGTTAACACCACATATACACGGTGCCAAATCCCAGAAGACTGCTTTCTTCTTTTCATATTGTTTGTAGGGTACTTACCCCTACCTAGTCTTTGCATTTGATGAATTATCTGCCATCTGATTGCAGACTTTCATTTGAAGATTGCATTGCAGTGATCTTGACAGGCTGATTGGTCTTGCCACTGTCATCATAATATTATTTGATGCATCACACTTAGTTTTGATGTCTTCTTATGGTACTTGTCACACACTTCATGATCACTATTTAATTGAGAAAGTTTTTCAGTCATCCAAGGAAGTATGTTTGGTAAGTTGTTTGTGACATTATGTCCACCTTGATTTACATTGCATAAGGTTGGTGATACAAGGTGCCATAATAGTTGCAAACACATTTAATCAAAAAAATGTTTAACGTAAATATCTTGTATACAGAACCGGAAAGGAACGTTTAGTACATGTGGTTATTTCAGATGACCATAGAACACTGCGCTGTAGAGTTTTCAGGTCAAAGCTGAGACTACATGCAACCTGCTCAGATCTGCTAACACTGCAGACACTGCATGACTTGTACCCATCAACTAAATGGTAAATGATGATGCAGTGCGTTAAAACGCTTAATTTTTTTTTGAAGAATTATTATTCAAGGCTATGAAGTAATAATCATAATGGCATATGACTTGTAAAATATTTGTTTTTGTAGTAAAACAATTTTTGTTAACCAAAATTAATGAATGTAAATAATTTAAAAGAAATGTGTTGCTTTAATTTGCTTTGAAAATAGAAATGAAGTGACTTGTCACAGTAAAACGCTTCACAAAACCTAGCCTCATTGAATTCCCATCTTGATATTTGTAGATGTCTAAAATGATAGCCACATGTACTGTATTTAAATACATATACCAAATTTTGAGAAGTACCAGGTATGAGGTCAGGTTTCAAGACTTTGAAATCAGAAGAGTGCTGAATATATCGATGTAATAGGACATTGGGAAGAGTATTTTATGAGCCTTTGAATGATCTCTGTGTTTCAGTAGGGTAAAAGTTATTTCTAGCATTCGGGCTGTTTCTTTTTTGTTATCAGGTACAATTGGTCATGTAGCCCATGGGAAATCTACAGTGGTGAAAGCTATTTCTGGCGTTCAGACTGTTCGTTTTAAAAATGAGTTGGAAAGGAACATTACCATTAAGTTAGGTAAGTAACATTTTTAGGTATATTAAGAATATATATTGAGTGTTGTATGTTATGCTGGGAACACATTTGTATTGATGTGAACTGTGTCTACAGAGGCTACTATAATATCTGTATCCCCCAGATGTTTACAGATATTCTGTTTGTCATATAGAAGTAACATACATTTTCATACAAGTGTTGATATGAGTTTGTAAACCTGTAAGTTCCTGTTGTCAAATTCAGTTCGAAAATCATCTTCAGATCCAATGTGAAATGGAGAATTTAAAAATAGAAAGATGCAGAAAAATACATTTGAGCTTTTAATTTATTATTTATTCTGATTCTGATATTATAATGTTTAGAAAACAAAAGTGTTCCTGAAGTATTAACATTTGAACATTAAAGAATGTTTGGTTCTACATAGTAACGAGAAAGTAGAGAAACTATGAACACTGTGCAGTTTCAGAAAGTATTTTTTTCCCCCTTGGCACTAAAGCCCCAGTTGGCCTAGGCTTACCTCCGTCAACTCTGTTCACTTCAGTTTTTCTAGATCTTACACATTCGGTAGGACTCCGTGGGCGTGTGATCAGCTCGTCGCAAGGCCTCTACCTGTATACAAACACAGAAAAATGCACACACACAAACTAAACATCCATGCCCTGAGTGGGATTCGAACCCACGATCCTGGTTTCCAAGCAAGTGAAGGCAGTACATGCCTTAGACTGCTCGGCTACTGTGACCTGCTTCAGAAAGTATTATAGACACTAAATGTCACTGATTGACATCAATTGACTCAATGGTTACTGTGAAATATGTGTGAACTGTGTCCCTGTGGAAGGCAACACATTTTGGTATGGTAAGATGATATTGAGTAAATACAGTGACAGCTATAAAATGTGATCTTTTATTTCACATTAACCAATTTCAATCTTGAATACTACTTGCTGATTATTGGAACTAGCTAATGATATTGTCAGCATCAGGCAGGCTAATGAACACTGTTTCTTCCTGTTAGAGGAAAAATTTGTTTATTGTGGATATTTCATTTGTAGGGTAAGGTTATGTTGTTAAGTCCTTTTGCAGTTGTCTCACTGATGTATTTCTTTTGAGACTGAACTGCTCATAGTTCATCACAGAAAACCTAAGAATTTTTTAACATTTCACATACTGGTATAGTCTTTTATGCATAGTGTGAAATTGTTCACATTATGCTGGCCTCCTCTCCCCTGCCAACATCCAGTGCTTGTACAGTCAGAAATGAGTACTTTGAGTCTTCCTTGGTTGAAGGGCGGCCAGCACATAAGACTGATAAACTCTCCACTGTCTGTGAGCCACTTGTCTAGAAATTTTGGGAGCCTCAACATCTCACAACCCTATGGGCTTCCATGGCCTGCTACAGGGATAGATTTACCTTTTACCTTTATAAAATGATATGTTCTTGGATGAGGCTGACACACTTCAAAAGTGAAGAGTGTTTTGAATATTCTGGTAACAAATAATTAAGTTATGCTGTATTTCTTGCCTTCCTGACATTAGTAATAACCTGGCACCCATGCCGGCTTCATGAGTGGGAAACCAACAAGTACAGTTCAGTTTAGAATTGTGGAAGTTCTTTATAGTGATAGATATTTGATACAAGTCTCATTGGATTAATTCTTCAGACAGCAGTAGAATAATATGGGATTGGGCAGATCATTTGCAGTTGATGAATTAGTGCAGCTTCAGGTGTAAAGTTTGTAAGGTAACTTGTAAATGTGTGATTTGAAGTCCTTATTGTGGTGACTGTGAACGTAACTGTCTTCTGGTATAGATGCGTGCCACTGTTTCAGAGGAATCTGCTGTTTCCATCTTAATTTCACATGGAAAATGGAGACAGTGAGTTCCTCCAAACCATTAGTACCTACAAGTATGTATCAGACTGCTTGGTCTCACATCCAGTAAGTTTGTAATCTTCCTGTAAACACAGCTGCATTTTGTGTCTTACTTCAGCATGCTGTAGTAATTGTAAAATAGAAGAGTCATGTAGAAGTGGCTCACATTTTGAGTTTGGACACGGTGTCATACTCTTACTAAATAGTTCATCATAGAAGAGAAAGTTTCCGATTCAATATATTAATTGTAAGGGAGTTAACAGCAAAGAAATTTTACCTTCTTTTTACCCCACAAACCCTGTCCCATCAGGGCTCAAAAGTGTTCCATTTCTGTAGCCTTTGGTGCATGTTATGGAATAGGTATTTCGTGCAGTCCTCTTAACCTTTAACGTACGGACTTTTAAATTGCCGGGAGCCCCCTGCGGCCGGTATTTAAATCACCCTGATTAATTAAATTTGCAAACCGTCAGAAAAAACCCATATTTTCCGTTCTATGCAACATAGAAATAAAAACTAAAAACAACCTGAAAGACAATACATTTTTCTACATGTACACAGAAGAGCAGTTTTTTACAAATGAAAATTAACTGTGATTATTTTGTCACGAATTGCAAAATATAATCTTTATTATATATGTCATGAAATTCCAAAGGACTTACCCGTTGTTTATTCTTCAGCCTTGAATCATGGTGATATTGTAAATATAATCACACTATATACTCGTACAATAATATTTTGTTCAGACTGTACGCGAGTTTGAACTGCGTCACTTCACAGTTTACGATAACTCACACTCGATGCGCGTGTACTACTTGTTGAAGCAGTCCAACATTCTCGAAGCAGCCGAACCCACACAGCGCAACGTGACACTTTACATGCTTCTGCACTTCTTATTCTGAGAACAAATACGTCTTAGTTTCCCTTTGGTTGGCCAGTGTTGTGAATGTTTCACCTCCAGTCGACTCATTTGGGCCCCCTGATAAATTTGGCCATCCCCCGAGAAACACCACTGACCGTGATATTCGGGTTGTGCGATTGAAGAATCGTCTTGGGGGAGGGGGGTTTCTAGCAAAATCGAATAAATTGTGTTGATTGACAAAGTGACACTCCCACCTGTTGGTAATATTCGCAAAATAATGATGCAAAGTAAGTATAATACTAGTCGAAAAGAGTGCCAGTCTGACGCATACTGAAAGTCGCAGTGGTGAAGATGCCTTTACTCACAAAGTAATACTGGCTCATTGGGTTTATACCTCTTCCAAGACACAAAATAAAAATGATATACAAAGAAATATATGACAGTCTGACATTGACTTTCTAACTGATAAAGAAATATTAGACAATCCGACACTGACTTCCTGACTGATAATTCGCCACTGAAAACCAATCCTTGAATGCTTCAGACTTCCTTGAAGGCTTTGCAAGCGCTCTTATGCAAGCACCGATAAATATTTCCTCATCAGTTCTCGCAACAAAGCTGGGCTATATTTGGCTGAGCAGGTCATAAACAGTCATATCTAAACGTAAATAGTATCGGAACCAGTACCGTGATAAATAATTTCTTTGTACAGAGCTAAGGAATGAACCACTGACATGACCTCACGTAGGTTTGTTTTGGTTTCCAACCCAAGGTCAAACTGCCAGCACTCCCAAAGAGAGGATGTGTCCTGCGACGTGTACACAGGTCATTGGCCAACTCCGGTTACTGCTTGCTACGTGTATACGTGACATTCGGCCGTTAAAGGTTAATGACAGATAACATACTTTGTCTTACAGTCTGTCATCTTACTTGTCTAAGTATCTGGATATTTGGAGTTTCTCAAGCTTGAAGTCATGTGATTGAATATTTAATCATGTAGTAAATCTTTCATATGGATCTCGGTAATTGTTGATTTTGATGACCTTATTCAATAATTGTGTTATTCATATTCCATAAGTTGCTTGTAGCATGAACCCATTCAAATACCAGTTGAGACATTCTTCCTGTAAACGTGGCCTGCAATAACAGTTTTTCCAACGTGTACAGCAAGGAGGAATGTAGTAACAGCTGAAAATTTTGAGCACTGAAATTTAATTACTTCATTCTTATTGGTGATAAAATAAAGTTGTTCCTGTGCGTAAGCACCACATTGGAGGTACACACCTCAGCACCTCTGCATTGTGATAAGGGTTGGTAGGACAGCTTCATGATTCAGTTGCTTCACAAATGCAGAGAACCCTTCAGCTTTTGAAGTACTGTGTTTCTACCTACATAAATTGTAAAAAGAAACTATTACCTAGTTAAATTGAGCGTGTACCCAGTGAAATTATATCGTGGGATGAAGTCCTTTCTCTGCACTCACTGAATATGCATTTGTAAGGAAGATATCTTAATGCTCAAACTGTGATTGCCTCTGAAGCTGGACATATTTTCAGTTGTGTATTTATTATATTTGTTGGGTTCAACTGAAGAGAAACACCAGCAATTTTACAATTCCAGGAGTCCTCAAGCCTGAGACTGAGGGGAGCTTGGAAAGAGAGATGTCCGCAGCTGAGGTTGAACCTGTGTCCATAACAGATGGGGACTGTGTCATCATTTCGAGAAAATTGAAGAACAGTGTCACAGTGAAGCCCAAGAACATACGCAAGGTGAAAGCTAACAGTGTTGAGTGTAGTTTGGAGTTGAGTGCAGGGAAAGGTAGGAAAAAACAGAGAGTGTCTGTAGAATCTGAATGCGAGGAAGGTGAGCCAGTCTATGAGGTGGAGAGAATTTTAGATCACCGTAAAGATAAGAATGGAAAAATTATTTATCTGGTGAAATGGAAAGGGTGGCCCACAGAAAATAGTACATGGGAACCTGAAGAGAACCTCACTAATTGTAAGCATACACTGAAAAATTATCATGCAAAATTTAAAAGACAGAGAGTAGAACCCACCTCCCATGGATTACCAACATCGGAAGATGTGGAGAACTTCAAAAAAAGTCTTGGGCAACCAACTAAAGGAATGTTGGAAAGCCTCATGAAGACTTTTTCAGGGAGGGGATTTCTCAAGTACACAGTGCCCAAGGAGAAAGACATAGACAAGAAAATTGTTGAATTACTAAAATTACCTTATGATAAGAGGAAACCACAATTGGTACAAAAAATAAAGGATGCACTCATGGTCCGAGAATTTCATTTCAGACGGTTGGAACAGCTGGCAAACCTCCGGGTGTTTGAAATGGAAATGAATTGCCTATCGACAGATAAGGCTTGTATAACTGTGGAAAATGAAGTGGATCTTGAGGAGGCACCAACCAATTTTATATATTTAAATGACTATCTGCCTGGAGAAGGTGTCACCATTCCTGAGGACCCACCGGTTGGCTGTGACTGTCAGCTGATCTGCAGTGTTAACTCTGTAAATTGTTGCAGTAAACAGTCTGGATCTACTTTTGCATATGGTCCTGATAAGCGTCTCATTGTTCCTGTGGGCACTCCTATATATGAATGCAACAAGCGTTGTAAGTGCAGTCCAAATTGTTTAAACAGGGTAGTTCAAAATGGACGTACAGTACAGCTATGCGTGTTCCGAACAGCATCTGGTTGTGGCTGGGGAGTGAAAGCATTGGAAGCTATTAAGAAGGATTCATTTGTTTGTGAGTACGTGGGTGAAGTGATTAAGAATGAAGAGGCAGAGAAAAGGGGGAAAATATATGATGCAGAGGGCAAAACTTATCTGTTTGATTTAGATTATAATGATAGCGAACAAAATCCATTCACAGTAGATGCTGCAGTATATGGGAACATTTCTCATTTTATAAATCACTCATGTGAACCAAACCTTGCAGTGTTTGCTGTGTGGATCAATTGCTTGGAGCCTAATTTGCCGAAACTTGCCCTGTTTGCCACAAGAAATATAAGAGAAGGGGAAGAAATAACTTTTGATTATATGTGCCAATCTTTAAAGGGGAACAGTAATTCATCCCAAAATTCAGAGTTAATTTCTGAAAGTGCTGTCTTGCCATACACATCTCCATTGCGTGCACGTCTCACCCTGCCCACCAGTGATAATTTAGAGAACTGTTTACCAGGATCTTCAGAATGTGATGAAACTGCTTCCAAAACTCGTTGCAAATGTGGAGCTAAAAAGTGTCGGAAGTACCTGTTTTAACCTATGTTTTTCCTCCATCAGCTGCACTTTATTTCCACTGATTCATGTGGATTTGTTAAGTGATAGTATGTCAGTACATGAATACTACTTGAAGTCACATGAGCTTCAGTAGTGTTATACAGAGGCCTGCAAACATGTGGCAGGAGGTCAGTTTGTACAGTTATCATCATAGTTGCTTTTCTGTTTTCTGCTTCATACTTTCCAGAATTCTTTCTCGTATTCATCTTTCACCCATCATAGAATCATTCCGAAGCTAGCAAGTACTTCTGGTAATTAAATTAGCAGATTATGGCATAAGGTTTATTATGTAAGGTATGCCAAATTAGGTTTTCCATTTTCAGTCAAAGTGCTGGCGCATTTCACAAGAAAAAGTCCTGTGTTTTGGCCACCTTTATCTTAATATGTTATAATTGTTGCTGTTTTGTCATTGCTGTATGGGTGAAGCTTTGTGCTGCTTGAGTAGCAGCAGTTGTATATGTTTGTTTTAATTATAAGATAATCTCAAGGTACGATAGTGGTGTTTATTAATCCTTGCACGTCAAGCCTAGTACTACAGGCTGTACAAAAATTAAGTTGTTTTTATGAAATCAGATAATGTGTATATCAGAATTATGAGATAGGCAGAAATTGTTGCGAATGAAATGTTTTGTATAATTTTGTCATCTCTTAGAATTCATATGAATGACATGCAATTGGAAACTAACCAATTAGCAGTCATGACTGAATCTGTCAGCTCAAGAACTCGATTCAGAAGTCATTGTGCACTGGTAAGAACATAAATATATTTCCTATGGTGAACAAGAGATTTATAACAAATGTTAGAAGTGATCTCCATATGCTTGTAGACCAGCATCTGCCCATTTCATCTATGTGGTCAAGACATATTAGTTCTGCAATGGAATATTCTTAATGGCCAGACGTCCTTTGAAATTATCTGTTCACCAAACGCACCACAAAAGCGCATAGAGACATGAGCCATGGGCACTGTAGGGCTGCCCTGTTGGAAGCAGCCGCAGGTGAACAACCTGATAATCCAGATTAAATGCCAGCCACACCCAGCTATTTTAGGAGTTGACGTACCCAAACAAATGGAACCACAATTCATCTCTGAAAAAGTATAACCTCCAGAATATTTTCTTCAGTAAAAAAGTGTCACATCCAGAATATTTTCTTCAGTAGTGATAAGGAAGTCCTTAAGCCATTAGCAACATTGCACACACTGCAAATTGTTACATTCTTTCAGTTCATCCAGTGATTGTACCTACTACAGGTGCAGATGCACTGTTTTTAAGTGCTTTTTGTGTTGATCAATGTGAGACACCTGCTTGCTGCAACAGTTTGCCAGATACTTTGTTGAACATTGCATTGTTCCATCAGAGATATCCAGTACTTTGTCCTCCATTAACAGTCTTGATGTGCAGGATCTTGGCACATTAACAAGCCTCCCTGAACTTGTTAGCCTTCTGGCACTCTGTGTTGGGGTATGGTGTGTAAGGTTCAGGACCCAGTATTGTAAACTTGTTTGGCCTTTTCTGTGCATTCACCTCTATAGTGAAACACTATTCCACCATAAATGCTTTGGCCTCAAGTGAAAGCAGCATTTTCACAATGGTTATGGCCATCCAAACAGCCCACTGGCTGTGGCTCAACTAACTGAGTGATGCTAATGGTCAAGGTCATGCAGTCATGTGATACATATGAGCATGTGTGACTTTTCACTTTCCCTGTATAAATGAACTTTGTGTGTGTGTGTGACTGAATATGATTATGTATATACTAAAGTTGAAATCGAGATGACAGGTACCTTGGTTTGTCATGCAGCAGTGTAACCTGTCAACTTGATACACTACTAAGAGGGAGCAGTGAGTTCCAGTAAATCAGAAACAGTGTGATGCTGATTGGTTCAATTCTCAGCATGTGTTAACAGTACTCCTGTCACCTGCCTCTGATTTTTAACCTAGAATTGTTTGAAGCTTGACACAGTTCAACTTGTACATAGAAATTCTGTGCATAGTTTGTTTTGTTATTATAGGAGAACAGTTAATGTTGTGTATACTGTAAGTCTGAAGATATGGATGTAGGTGTTGGTTAAGCTTTTTAAATTATGTATTATGTTCAGGTATGACAAAATATGCACAATTTAATATTTTATTCTCATGCTTTCAATTGCTGGAAGGAAGGACACATACAATCATGAGGGGTTCTACAACACAACACATGTAATAATAATTAATTATATAAGTATGTGCCAAAAATTACAGTACTGAAATGAAAAGACAAACAGTATTACCTTGTTGTCATCTGTGAGTTTATTTCTCCTTAAAGAAACTAACATACACACTATTAGCATGTTGATTTACCACGGTATGCATAATGTAAGTTTTCGAAGTGTGCACCGCCTCGCTGTAGACAGTGTTCATATTGTTCATGCAGATTCTCAGTCATATCCCACCATAAAGGTTGCTGCAGACTCCTGCAAAAGGAGACAATATGCTTGTGTAATGCAGGCACAGTTCTTGGTGAATCTTCACAGTTGAACACACACTCCTTTAACATTCCCCACAAGTAGGCATCAGGTGGTGTAAGATCGGGGGAATGGGACGGGTATGGGAAGTCAGTACCATGTGAAATGATTCATCCTGGAAAGTTTTCCTGCAGCATGGCTAGAGATTCTTGAGTCGTATGGCTGGTCGCCCCATCCTGTTGATACCACTGTCTATTCATGTGAAGGTTGCATGACAGAACCTTATGAAATCCTGAAGAAATGGTCCGATCACCATGTCCCTGTAGCGTTCTTGGGTGACGGTAAGAGCATTGCCTTCCTCACCCTCAATGAAATAGTTGCCTAATATACCGTGTGCTGAGACAGCACACCGTATTGTCACACATGTACTATGTTGCAGTTTCTGGACGATAACATCTGGCCGCTCAAAACCAGAGAAGTGAGTAGTCTGGCGATTGATGTACCTGTCCAAGTGAATGTGACTTTCATTGGAGAACCACACATTCCTAAAGAAATCCTGGATCCTCGTACACAATGGCCAAAAATGTTCCACATACCTGTATCCGGTATGGAAATCCACCAGTGTTCTTAAACAACAGGCGAATGGTCGTATCGCTGTTTCAAGGCCGTTCATCGTAGACTTTGTCGGGGCGAATGCAGCACCTGCTGAAGAACATGTGCATGGTTCTCTTTTGTTGAAACAGTTACTGGTCGACCAGACTTTCCCTTCCGTTGACACAGTACACTACCAGAATGGCGAAATTTCACAACAATAGACAGCATAACTGTGTTAATTCGTGCTGTCTTATTAAATGTCTCTTGGAATTGTTCTGTCACCTTTTTCAAACTCGATCCCCCTTCACGACCACTTCCATATGAGTGGAAATAATACTCAACTATGAATAGTTTTCCCTCCATTGAGAGACCCATTTCCAATAACAACTGCACAACACAACTTCCTTTTCACTGCTGGGAACATGTGCGGCTGGAGCTATGTCCCGTCGACAAACGCACATGCGCATTCAAGTCTCATGAGTTTTCAGTACTGCAATTTTTGGAGCATGCTGTATTTAGCTGACTGCATAATCTGCCTGTAGAGGCCATCTTCAGCCATTTTAGTACTACATTTCCTATCTGCTTTCTGCTGATCCTCTTCAGTGGCTGATACTTGTCATATTGTTTTCCCTAGATGAAATGGGATGGTGTGGTAAAGTGGAATACATGGTAGGTGTAGAATGGATAATAGCAATGTAATTGCAGAAAAGATAAAAATAAATTCATATAAAAGGTAAGTATTTGGCATGCAGAAGCAATATAAATTGTAAAATATGAAAGTTACAGTGGTTCAAATTTTTTAATGTTGAATGTTTGTTATTTCTAGTACTAGATTACAGATTGTGGGTGAAGGTGGGTGGTCGTTAATTACATATGATGAAAGATTGACTGCATGTTGTAGTTAGAACCATGAATTTTTTGTCATGTTAAGTTTGGTGTGTGCTATACCTTCCAGGAGTATGGTGATTTCTTCCCAGGCTGTAGAGCCGCCTGTTATAATTTGATCTCTGTGTTACATGTATAGTCATGGCAGATGTATGTGTAGAATTTTGTATACTGTGCCATGGAAGTTCCACACATATTACATGTAACAGTTTTAACCATTGTAATTTTTAAACACTACAGTTTGTATCACCAGTGCATACTTAATTTCCTTTTATATTAACTTATTTATGTCTTTTCCACAATTACATTGCTGTGTGGGATGTCATTATATGAAGAGACAACCACTTGTTGATCTGTTCTATAAATTTTTTGTTGTTATAGCACAGTATACATAGACGAACTTGAGTTTGAAGAATTGAAGAATAATAATAACAATAGTGAACTCTGTAACACCTTGAACGTTGTATTGAAACGCAACACTGAACTAGAATTGTAGATTAACAATCAACAATCAAATTCCTTCCGTCAAATGTGACACTTTTTTAAGTTTTCCACCTCGTCACCACCTGCCTTACATGTTTCGGCTCACCACGGAGCCATCATCAGAGGCATTTATAGTAGAAAAAGAAATCACCAACACACAAAACTTCACTTTGTCCAAGATAGCCACGTTCCAGTNAGGCAGGTGGCAGGCAGGTGGTGACGAGGTGGAAAACTTAAAAAAGTGTCACATTTGACGGAAGGAATTTGATTGTTAATTGGTTAGTGTGACGGACCAGAATGAAAGACCTTAAAAAAAGAATTGTAGAGCTGTAGAACTCTAGAACTGTAAACTTCCAAAGTCAAAAGTCACATTGCGACTGATGGTTAGTCAGTCAGTAAGTGTTGGTGTCGAGCCGCATCTGGGGCTCATGATCAGATATTATTACCATTTGACAGTTACGGTCTTATTTTTGTGGGGTGCCCTCTCTGATGAGAGGATGGGTCTGTCTTTTGCATATGCTGCTGGCCCTTGCCAGCGCAGTCTTTCTTGGGTCTGAGTCACTTGGGACTCACGACTGTATTTTACTGTCTCAGATTTGAGACTTCCCTTTTCATCGCCTCCTACAACTCACAGGGTCACAGTGGAGGTATTCAGCCCCTCCTCTACACAGAGGTGGGGTCATTAAACTTCCAAGTCCAAATCACATTGCGACACAGTCAGTAAGTCTTGATGACAAGATATATATTACTGTTTGACAGTTACGGTCTTGCTTTTGTGGGGTGCCCTTTCTAACGACTGGGCGGGTCTGTCGTTTACATGTGCTGCTTGTCCTTGCCAGCGCAGTCTTTTTCGGGTCGGAGTCACATGGGGCTCTTGGCCATATTTTACTGTCTCAGATTTGAGACTTCCCCTTTTATTGCCTCCTACAACTCGCAGGGTCATGGTGGATATATTTGACCCCACCTCCACACGGGCTCATTAAACTCAAAGTCAAAGTCACATTGTAACTGACAGTCGGTCAGTATGTCTGTTGGGGCTCATGACAAGATGTTTCTTCTTATATGAAAGTTACTGTCCTGTCC